TCTGAGAGTGCAAGTGCAAGTCTGAGAATGCAAGTCTGAGAGTGCAAGTGCAAGTCTGAGAATGCAAGTCTGAGAGTGCAAGTGCAAGTCTGAGAATGCAAGTCTGAGAGTGCAAGTGCAAGTCTGAGAATGCAAGTCTGAGAGTGCAAGTGCAAGTCTGAGACTGCAAGTGCAAGTCTGAGAGTGCAAGTGAAAGTCTGAGAATGCAAGTGCAAGTCTGAGAATGCAAGTCTGAGAGTGCAAGTGCAAGTCTGAGAGTGCAAGTGCAAGTCTGAGAGTGCAAGTGCAAGTCTTCACTCAGACCCTTCTCAAAAGCAAGACGGCTCAGCTAACCATAGACACAAATATCCCGCTGCGCTTTTATATTAATATATTGCACTTAAGTGTGGAACTCAGATCGCTTTTGTAAGCTATTGAATGGATAAAATGTAGAAATCCCTTTCATTTAAAATAATAAATAAATAAAAATCTAATCAGTTGGAACTGGAACGCCACCCCCCTCGAAATGCACTCCCCGGGCTCCGTCCCCCATTTCCAGCCCTAGAAACTCTTTTTTTACTGGTTATGTAAACGGTGCTTTACAACCCTCCAAAAACGCTCCATAATGAAAGTCAATGTTTATGATCAGTCATGGGCGGCCCATGTTGTCAGCTTTTAATAGTTTCTTATGAGGCACAGAATAATCATCCCGCAGAGGGCGCATGGTGGCTCAGAAAGCCAATTCCTTCACTGAAGCCACTTCAACTCTCACCTCGTTTTTGTCTTATTGGAAACACGTGTACACCAATAGATGTAATCGATTAAATCTGTTACATACAAGGATTGGGGTTTTATCAGGAAAATGGATAGCTACCGCATCAATATCTATAAAATGTATTTAATAAATCGTTGTTTAGTAATCTGTGATTGGTTAATCCCAACCAGCGCTGAGAAAAGTAACAGGGAGCATGTGACTACGCTGCTCGCTTCAGACGCAATGTTGATGATAAATTACGTCTGAAAAAATAACAGAACATTTTTTATTAGATTTAAATAAAAAACATTAAACAAAAAGTTAAAATAAGGTAATTGTGTTTTCAAACCACGCCCATCTTCTACACCTTTTCATGCTAATTCTCATTCCACCCGCTTATTCTATTTCTATGGCTCAAGTGAGTCAGTCAAAGCACTGATCCTAAGCATCAGAAGAGAAAAAGACGCGAGGAAATAAACAGCTGTGCATCAGAAAGAGACTATCATGGCATCGTTAAATCTCGGGTTCAACGGGGCTCGTAAAAAAGCTGTAGCGCGTATCAGAGCCGTAGAGAGGAGGAATCTGATCACCGTTTGCAGGTAACATCTGATTACACATTCATCATCATTGCAGCACACCGGCGCACGGGACATGTGGGATGATGTCATTGTTATTATTTTTTTAGCAAGTTAGGTTTTGTGTGTGTAAATTGCTGATGCTGGAACAGGGGAGATGCACCGCGCACAGAAGCGCTGGTCTGAGATCTGTCATCAGAGCATCACGCACGCCATGTAGATGGAGTCCTAAGAGAAAGCACAGTGGTGATGTCTACTGAATGATTCGTGCAACATGGCATATACATTGTGTTCCAAGGTACTTCAAAGAATGCATGTCAAAAATGTTGTTTTTTCTATGGTATGTTAAAAAAAAGGAAAAAGGCACGGTAGAATCATAACACTCATCTAAAAAAACAAAAACAACGTTTGGACATGGTTAAAAAAATAACAATAAATAAATAAAACACAATGCAATGGTACATGTGCCAAAAAAAAAAAAAAACAGAGATAGAGTACACATGAATATTTTATACCATTTGATGGCAGTTTTTTTATATTAGGAAAGCTTGTGTCTTATAGCTGGTGATGACTGAAACTTAACAAGGATTTTAACTAGTAGGGAATGAAGAGCTTAAAGGGATAGTTCACCCAAAAATGAAAATTCTGTCATCATTCACTCACCCTCATGTCGTTCCAAACCTGTACGAGTTGCTTTCTTATGTTGAAATATTTTATACCATTTGATGGCAGTTTTTTTATATTAGGAAAGCTTGTGTCTTATAGCTGGTGATGACTGAAACTTAACAAGGATTTTAACTAGTAGGGAATGAAGAGCTTAAAGGGATAGTTCACCCAAAAATGAAAATTCTGTCATCATTCACTCACCCTCATGTCGTTCCAAACCTGTACGAGTTGCTTTCTTATGTTGAACACAAAAGAAGATATTTTGAAGATTGCTGGTAATCAAGCAGTTGCTGGTTGCCATTGACTTCCGTACTATTTTTGTTTTCCTACTATGGAAGTCAATGGCAACCAGCAACTATTTGATTACCAGCAATCTTCAAAATATCTTCTTTTGTGTTCAACATAAGAAAGCAACTCATACAGGTTTGGAACGACATGAGAGTGAGTACATGATGACAGAATTTTCATTTTTGGGTGAACTATCCCTTTAAATACGCAAAACCTTGAGAACTATCTTGAGAACTTTCTGACCCATTTTGTGTGATATATTGTATTGCTGAGAGTTGTAGTATCTCTTTGCCGAAGGAAGTGGATACAGTACATCTTCTTGGATGTTTGGATTGGTATGCTATCATACCAATCAATTATTTCTGCAGAATACACTATATATAGTATGTGTATTTTACCTTGATGACTTGCTACCTTTGCCAAAATGTGCAGTATGCAACTAGATCACACTACACTGGACACTGTATCCCAAAATGCAGTGAGCTCAATTTGACCTTCTATTAAGTGTGACTTGTGAATCAGAAGTGATATCAACTTGACTTATTTTTTTGATAAAAGTTTGCCATGTGCCAATGTTTAAAACATTTATTGTTGCATATGCAGTGTGTTTTATTTAACATACTACAATAAATGCAAAATATGCAACCTAGACTCACTGGAAAACCATGCCTCTACCTAATTTAGTTGTAAACAATTATTTGTAAACTAATACACTTTGATGTCTGGATCACATAACCAACTCCATATGTATGGCTTTTCTAACGTACTAAACTTGTTCGGTAGCCCACCTGGTACAGCAATGCACTTGCGATGCGAGCCCTGTGAATCATGAGTCATGATAAAATAGTTCAAAGCCTTGTGTAATCAAGCCAAAATGGCATGGTTCCTTTAGCAAATACATTTTTATCTAAGGTCTGCTTTTGTTAACACTATAGGCTTAGTGTACAGTTTAGTGTAGGTGGTTTATTTTCAAACAGACAGTATCAAACTCAAATATCAGAACGATAAAAGTTTAATACAGACTTTGTTTTTGTTTTTTTATAAAACTGAACACACTTTTGGGCCATTCACTGGACATTTCACTTTGAAAGTGTTGAGAAATGTGCAAGAAGCAACGTAATAAAGCGTTGCCAGATTCACATTGTTTTAAATAAAACTGAATGTACTTTTAATGCCATATATTTAATGCCATATTCGCTGGAATAAGGTTAATTACATTTATATGTCTAATTAGGCAACACCACAAAGGGCACATTCGAAGCAGGAAAAGCGTCAGTCTGAACACAAATGAATGTCATACCCATGAGGGGGCACAGCAGGAATCAGCCAATCAAAAGGCTTTGAGTGTGACGTGTCCACACATGTACAATCACAGTAAGACCGAAGCTCACAGCTCTGTGTCTGAGGAAGAAAGAACAGAGGAATAGATAAGCAAAATCCATTTCCTCTCCTGTTTATTCTGTGATATCTGATCCAGAGTTCGTTCAGGACTGAAATAAGTCACTGCAGGTTTTTTTTTTTTTTTGAGTGATGAAAGTCTGACGTTCAAAGAATTGTGAAAGGAAGTTCATGTTGTCAGAACGTCTTGAATGAAGATATTTGATTGTAATCTGAATAATTGCTCTAGACCAATGCTCATAAAAAGGCCATGAAACTTCAAAGAAGTCCAGAGAATTTGGGACCGTCTAAACTGAAATGTCAGGCTGGGTTAATCTACGTGAGTTGCCACAGGATGGCTACTTCAGAAATTCTGTTGATGGTTTTATGAGTATCAGACCGTGACAATTTTGTGTGGTTATTTTAAAGTGTTTTCAAATCTCTCTCTGTGCCATAAAATACTGTGTATCAATAAACATTTCAATAAGCAGTAATATAATTGGTGCCACATGACTTTATTACACTGCGAAAGTTTTACCATTATCACACTTACTGTAAGTGTTATTTTAGTATAATTTATATATAATTATAATAATATTTGGAATTAGCTTTTATATTTATATTGCCAGTTTTCATTTTAATCATCAATTAGGGGTTAAGTAATTTTGTTATGTGCTTATGACATTTTAAAAATGTTTTTAAGCATGTTCCTATTTAGCTTTATTTTAATTTCATTTTTAGTCATTTTAGTAATTATTTATTTTGGTTAGTTGCCAAGGCAACATTTCCCTTTTTTTCAAGTTTAAGTTTTTAATGTAATCTATATATATATATATATATATTATTATTTTATTTGTGCTTTATTTAATGTACCAACAATTTGTAATAGCTTTAGTTTTAGGCATAAGAAGGAGAATTTTAACATTCCAAAGAATGCACACATAAGCTTTCAGGTGTTTGCAAATCCTTGGCATGCTGCTGTGCATTTCATACCAGTTTTGATTTGTACGTTTTTTTTAAAGATGATATCAAACAGTTACCCCCCCCCCCCCCCCCCCCCCCCCCCACCCCCCACCCCTCTCTTTCTTTTT